AGACTAACTTTATTGTTGTGCGTCTGTTTACTGCAGTCCACAAAATGGCGTCAAAGTCAGTACTTTGTATGACCACCATTGGCAGCAATTACTGCTCGGCACCGTCTCGGCACAGACTGGATAAGTTGACGAAGTCGCTCTTGCGGAATTCTTTCCACTCTTCCTCCAATGTTATAGCCAGTCATGAAAGTGTCTGAGCCGTGTTTTGACGTTGACGCACACGTCAATCGAGTTCATCCCAGATCGGGAAGGCCATGGCAAGACATTGACGTTAGAATTAGCAAGGTAGCGGACCAAGACGCGTGCTGTATGTGAAGTAGCGTTGTCATGCTGTAACAACTCCATCTGTCGGTCCATAATCGGAAGCACGTGACGTGCAAGGACTTCGTTGATGTACCGATTTGCTATCAAATTCCCCCTGAACCACCACTGAATCACACCATGACACTCCCTCCACCGAATTTCTCGACCTGTCGGATGCAATACGCCTTTATCACGCAACCCGCTAAAAAATTTCACAACGAGGCTCGGTATTCAAACAGAAATGGCGCAACACTGTTGTGTGCCTACCTGCACTAACGACTCCCGCTATCCCTCTGGAAGCAACCTGTCATTCCATAATATTCCAAAGAATCAAGACCTACGCAAACGCTGGATAATATGTATCAGACGCGACGAAGAGCCATTATTCAAGGTAAGTTGGACATGAAATGATATGACAGTCACCTTGTGTCAAAGGTGCTCGATTTTCGCGCACGATCAACTTGGTCGTACCGAATATCCAAAGGAATAAATAATAGTCATTTAAGGATAACATATCGTATTACCCGTCTAAATTGTAGTTCTAATATTGGAAGACAGTAATTATGATCAATTATTAAGATTTCATTCGATTTGTTTGTATATCAAATTATATTTTTCCCCTTAAGTCCACATATTCTTGTTTCTCATCACTGTAAAAAAATATGGGTCGGATCTACGGGTTTTTCTTTTTTCTATTTTATTTCATTTTAAGCCCCAAACCCCTTGATTTAAGTGGAAATTTTCTTCTATTTCCCAATGGAAAATCAGAAAATAGAAGTGTCCAAATTTCATGTACATTTTGAGAATCGAAGAATAATTCAAGATGATTGTGTCTTTAGTGTAAAAAATAAAAATAGTCTTAGGTTTGGGTGGAATTTTAGGGTGAAGAAAATGTTCATGTGTGGCCTAAATTGTGATTATACTATGATACACCGTATATTTTCATTCTTTTGTATGTTGTTGCTGAATCAAGTTCCATCTTAAAAATATTTTGAGAACAGCTTAATAAATCACAGAGTGAAATTTTACCAAGATTATTATCATTATAGGATTCATTATGCATTTCAAGTTAGAAATAGATGAAACATATCAAGTGAATGTAATTGATCCATTTGCTAGGCTTATATGATATGCTTTTGTAAACAATAAATATTTTAGGATGAATGTTATGATATGATAACTTGTTATGTGTCCTATCTTATGTTTTTGTATTGAACTGGGTTTTTTCTCAAACTTTATACAGGTCACAGACTCAACTCATGTGTGTTCCGCACATTTTACTGCTGATTCATATCAGCGATTCCTAACTGGAATTATAGAAAGGAGCAGTGCCAACCATTTTCTCTTGGAAGGAGAAGTTAAGGAGCGGTAGCCACCTAAAAAGCGATCAAGAAGGTTGGTTGGAATTACAAATTTCAAAAAATTGTCTAAATTATAGTTCCAGGTTTTGAAATGTGATTTCTGATTGATTACAATCTAAACTTTTTGCCTTATGTAATGTTCAAACACTTCTTTAATTTCAGTGTGTTTTTAAACTACATTTTATTGAAGTTTTTATAATATTAATTTGTAATATTTGTCACAAATTCATACACCAAATCACTGCACTTATTGAATTAGGTGTGAAACAAATTATGTACAATTACATATTACAATTATTATTTGGATTTCAGCAATTCATATGAGGACAACCTCACAGTTACTTCTTCTGGACCTGGTCACAGCAGCAAGGACATAACTACTACACCAGCTCCAATGCCTGATCATGATTATGCTGACCCACCAACTTGTACTGCTGACTAGCTTGAATCACTGAAGCAATATGCAAAGAAATTAGAAGTCCAACTTGCAGCTGTGTGCTCCAAAAGGTTTGGTATAAACCGGTTCACACATGACCAGGATGTGATACAGTTTTACACTGGATTTAGAACCTATGATGATTTTATTTCAACTTTCAATGCACTGAAGCCAACAGCTGTAAATATGGTACGATGGAGTCAAGTTCAGAGACATCGAAGTTCTAATGCAGAAAATCCACAAATAAAGAGTGACATTTTCAGAGATGAATCCATCCCATTTATCGATCAGTTTTTCATGTTCTTATGTCGTATCAGACAGGGCTTTTTAGGTTGATTTAGCTGTGAGGTTTGATGTATCCGTCAGTTCAGTTAGTAGTATTTTGGTCACCTCGGCTAATTATTTGTATGTGATGCCACCGATTCGGCTAGAGAGGGCTGCTATCAACAAAGTTATGCCAGAGTGTTTTAAGAGCACATATCCCAATACTAGAGTCATATTAGACTGTACAGAGATCAGAGTGCAAACTCCAAGTTCAAAACAAGAAACTCTGAGATGTATTCCCACTACAAGTCTCACTCAATTATGAAAGGGCTCATTGGAATCCCACCAGATGGCATTATTAGCTTTGTCAGCGCTTTGTACACAGGTTCTGTTTCTGATAAGGAAATAACCAAACAGTGTGGAATACTGGACTTACTTGATGTTGGAGATGATGTGATGGCAGACAAGGGATTTGTAATACAAGACCTACTCACACCGAAAGAAGCGAAATTGATTATTCCTCCTTTTTAAAGAGAAAAAGGGCAGTTTTCTCGCAGAGAAGTGAAAGAAACTCAAGGGATTGCAAGGCTTAGGATTCACATTGAGAGAGCCATTCGGAGATGCAAGGAATATCATATCTTTAGCAGGATCCAGAAATCAAGTTTGGACTGTCTGCTGTTTGTTGACAGATTTCTATGGAAAACTGTTTTAGTTCATGGGCCAAAGTATGTGAGCCCAAAGTGACAAATGTTTATGAAATGTATTTATTAACACCATGGACATGAGTCTTTATATAATGACAAAGTGTGACCATTGACAGGTGATGATCGAATTCATTTATGAAACACTTTTTACATTGAAATATTACACATGTTATTTCATAAATTATCTCTATAGATACGATAACAGTATAAGATATAAACAAGTTCATATGCAAAATATTCAACTTCATCATCAGTGATCTCTCATATATGTCCAATATTCACCGAATGCGTAGAAAGGTCCTATTTCCTTGTTCATGTGCAATATGCTTAAAAAAAGTATAATTTTGGACATGACAATAAAGTTCAGAGTAATAGAACTTCTGAAAGTGTCATTGGTATTGACCAGGGTACGATTTCAATTTTCACATTTTTATCAAAACTGCACTTAGTGCTGACTACACCATATTTGTATCTGACCGTAGAGCTGTGTATCGTGACTTATGTTACATTCACACACACACTTAAAAGCTGTTGATCTGAGAAAGTTTCAGCATTTCGTGCTTAAGAAGGTACAGTCAAACATTCAGTATACCTGAAAATAAATTTGAAACTGATGTTTCCTTTGGGAAGTTGTGTTTCTACACCAGTTCTTTCACAAACAATGCAATGTAATTTATATCAGAATTCAGAATCACAGAAAAACAACCCTCTAAAGTCTGCTGTCTAAATTGTATCTTATCTTTGTTCTCTTTCTTAACAAAGGTAAGACATCATTCATAGTTGTTAATGAATAGTGTTATTTGTCAAACAACCGAAACATATTTCAGTTATTTGAAGACAGGTATGCTACAGTTCACAGAGTTTGAAACATGTTCACACTCTTTCACTTCTACACCAACTCATTTGTTCATGTAACAGATACAAACAAATTCCTGTAAGGTTCAATTTGTTTTTTAAGCTCAGAAGAATTTCAACGAGACTGTGCTTATTCCTAGTGCGATACTCCTTACAACTTTAAGTAGTACTTAAGTAGTATCGGGATATATCATCTCTTGTGGCAATACATTGATGTATCATGGGCCCTCGTGATATAAATATCCTGATATATTGCCTAAATGTGTTTTGTATCGATGCACTCCTTTCGCATAGTTGACTATGCAAATATGGATACTATCGATGAATCGTTACACCACTACTGCACCGTCAAAGAAACCCAGCTGCACCACATGGAGTATAATGATTAATAATAAAGATAAAGAGCAAATTAGAAACACCCTTTCGGACTAGAACACTAATTTCTCCATTGAGGGGAAACTGCACCAATCAACGACAATTTCAATGGATGACATTTCATTTAAGTCAGAACACACAGGAAAATAACTACCTGCACATGGCAATTTTAGGCTGCCCCAGTGCAGTTTCATCGGTACAAGATCGTACCCTGTTGGCCTATGAATCATTGTGAATTTGAACTTATCATAGTACATATATGAGTTTATAAGAATCAATACTTGAGATTTCCTGGAGCCATATAATCATTACAAACCTTCTTTTTTGCAGTGTAAAGCATAATCATGCAGCATTGTATGACTGATATATTTCTCACAATATTAAATACTTATATATTATTATGTATAATGTATTCACTGAATATATATTGTCAATATCGTAATGACAATAATAATATGCATACTTTGTCCTTTATGTACTTGTTAAACCAGTGTTGTGCTTATGAAACTCTTTCTCATCACAACACATTTTTCATTGCAAACTCATGAACAGCATTGAATAAACTCGAAACATTTGTTTTTAAATACTGGACTTCCTTTAATATTTTCTTTTATTATATTCAACAGTCACATATTTTTATGATTTCAAATACCATGGAAAGGAGATATATGTCATGTCAACAATAAAATTATTGATAAAATGTCAACTCTGGTCTGTATTCATGTCATCTGTAGATACACACACACAAGATTACTTACAACTTCCAACTTCTATTTCAACTGAATCTTCCTTTGAAATGTTCAGTCCATCAAAACATCTTGCTGACCATGTGTTCAAACTGTTGATATATTACATACTAAATCTGGCAATATGAAAGTAGGAGCATCCTTAATGTGTGGGTGATTGGGAATAATGTCAGATTCCATGTCAATTTTTACAGGACGTTCGTATGACGGAACACATCCCTTAAGAACCCTTATTTTCTTCGGCATAATACCTTTAGTGTTTGGAACATGCCAGGCTTGAGGTAAAGATGTTTTGCTGATTATTGAGGGGACAGTCTTGAATCCACACATATTGTAATGGTGAAGAAGATATATCACACCAAGTATATGGTTGCAGTCACCTGCACCAGCCTTGCATGAAAATGAACAGTTTCTAATAGTAATACCATCACAATCTTGATGCTGGCTAATTTTAATATTCAGTGTATGAGGGAAATCATTCTTCTTCATTGACTTGTAACACTTGGCTCTAATGAAGCTTCCATCACATGCAGTCCGCACTGCAATTAATAAAAAGATTTCGTTAATTAAGCTAATAAAATTTATTTGTCAAGTGAAAATTACAACATAGCTTTGTTGAATCATTGGATAATCATCTTAACATCTTAATGAATTTAGCACAGCTTGAGGTAACCTGATTGTTCCGTGTAGGTATTTAAGGGTAGATATTTTGATATGATAAATGAAAAATTTGAGCATAGCTTCCGCGTGCCGGGTTACCTGCTCGGTTGATGGAACATAACTGTTCAGAATTTAATTATGTTTTGATATTGTAACATACTCAATAAAAAAACTGAGCATAGCTTCCGCATGCCGGGCTACCTGCCCGGTCAAGGGAACATAAGTGTTCGGTTTAGTGTAGTATAATACATGTATACATTAATAGGTTACCTCTCAAATCACTCTTACCATGGCTCTGTGATAAATGATGTGTTTCATGAAAAATCACAAACTATGATCATTTCCTGTAAAGAAGATGTTTTATTAAATGTATATTCTTGATAATTAACATTATATAAGTAAAATAAAAGGTGATGTGTAATCAATATGTTGTCACATGAATTGAATCTTACATAATAATCTGAACTGCACTATCATTTATTATCCATGTAAATATTGTTTATCATAATTAGGCCTTTCAAAGTATATCCTTATGTATAATCAATATGTAATATTCCATATCGGTTTCGCTGAAATGGTGAAAAATAAAACGGTACTTGCACTTCAAACAGGCATATCAATATTGTTACGAGTACACCAAACGTGAAATGTCAAAAAATATCTGACAGTGTTTACCTTCAACATCGTGAATGTAAGATTCAACGAAATTGCTGTAAGCTTTCTTGTAGATAGCTGTTGGAATGCGGCAGTTCGTCGACCATGCTTCAATGTCGGAAGATTCGACAGGTGGTAGAGATTTCGGACTTCTTGTCCACTGTGGCAGTGACGGGCCGTGAGATGACATGTCTCTAGCAGGCGATGGATTCGCGGGGCGGAAATACCGGAAGTAAACATTGTGTATACCGAGCCTCGTTTTCGCGAGTAATGTCCGACGCGTGAGAAAGGACTTTAGGGGCAAAACGTTATTTTCTTCGACGGTAAACGCGATGTCTTCCATCTCGCCGGTGAAGAAGAATTCGTGATTCATCAGTGAACCAGACTCGCTTCCAATTTCTAAGGTTCCAGTTCCGGACACCACCGCAGACGGATGTTGTGGTCCTTGTCTGGAGTGGTATCTCTGGGACAATCATGGGTGGAATTGGTGTTAACAAGCATGGGTTACTGAAGATCAATTCTAACCCGGATCTTCACGGGTGCCACTTTACAGACCTGATACAATCTGTAATACCCGCTGATTGAAAAACATCAGTAGCTATCAATAATTAATTGATTTGAGGTGGGATTTCCCACTCCACTCAAAAGTCTGGATCAGTAATCAACCCCCTGAATGGTGATATGGATTTTAACCATCGATGCGTAAGATGAGAGCTTTGGATCTAAATCACCTGCAGAGGGGTCGCCGACCTACTAACACCCGCGTGGGCTACGAACAGCATGCGTTGTTATTTAACTGTAATAATAATGAAGCTCACTCAGGCATGACGGAAAATCACATCGGCAGACACGCGAAAAATAATAGATACGAAGCAGGCATTTTATGAACAATTTGAAAACGCTTAAAAACGCTCCACTCATTGTCAAAGTAATTAATTTTCAAAGGTTTGGTGTCAATAGCAGAATGATCAAATGGCGTGTGCCTATTACTTAATACCTATCACGTTGTCTTACAAACACATTGTCTTCAAACAAAATAACTCTAATGTGAAAGTACGCTTCTATAAAATGTAAAATACTTATTTTAATATCGAGTGTTCAACTCAAAATGTAACAATGTGTGCCCCAAAGACAAAGAATAGACCGCCAATGCGCCTTCACAAATTGGACCAGGTGTTCAGATTGTCCAAAGGACGTCCTCTTGACTTCCTCATCTACAAAAGACCAATAGAGCCTAACCTGAGTCACTAGGCATCGTCTGTTGATAAGAATAAGTATAGCTCTCTACCGCAATCTCAGTAAGCATCTGCTACGGAAAATGTTTTCCAACGGCCCCTATCCGGACAGAACATTGTCTTTAGGAAAAGATGCTCCTTCTTTAGCATCTGAAAAGAGGGAAGGCAGGAGGGGACGAGATAGACTTGAAGATTATCCAAGAAGGTAAGAAAGACCTCAGCTGCCATGTAGGAAAAAATGGAGGAACGGTGACAAACAACAAACAACCAAGATAAAACAGCAGGTATTTGTTTAAGGGAGTTGAACACATTTAGAGGAATGAACTGGACATGATATGTTCCAGCATGCTGGATTCCTTGGTTTCTGACTCTTGGTGAGAAACGCTCCAGGTTAATCACCTGTAGTTCTGTAGCTGACATCGCTGATTGTGTTTAGCGAAATATATAACCGTGGATTAATCTTGGGTTCACCACGACTAGACAGAGACTAGATAGCAGTCAAAGCATAGGAAACATCCAACGTCTTCTTTGAAGACGACAAAGTCTGTTCTAGCATCTGGCTAGGCGATGGCTTCGATTTTGTTGAATCAAAGGAATCCTCCATGTTATGGACGAACTTCAGTCAGTACTTCCAGAAATGACCAATATCATACAGATGCCCCCTGATGAAGGAGTAAGATCCATAAATTCTCTCCCTCAATATTTTGGTCATCTTATTAGGCTACTGCGTGAGTATGTAAGGTCTAAACGTCCTGGCAAGCGCACTGACATTCCAATGCACCGGTTCACAATTTTGATGTCGCCATGGCTGCAATGCATGACTGAGGCTTTGAACTCATTCAACGACCTATGTTTTTACGAGATTTGCAAGTATCATCTTGGAACAGGAATTTTCACCAAGCATCTGGCGATGACGTAGATTCGGCTATGGATGACCTTTCCGCTTCGAAAGGAAGAAGCTGGGATTCAAACACTAGGATTGTGTTGACCTCAGAGGGGGATGATGCCGAACGTATGTAGCAGCCCCACCAACCCAGACCATCGTAGTTAGGCTCAGAACGCTTCACCTACCATACATACACATTCCCTCAAAAAAGGTATTTCACATTTCTATGCAATATTATATTTTATTAATTCATTTGTATCTGATTGGATAGTTTCTGAACTCGTTATATGAATTGTGTAAAGGCTACTCTGATATTCAGTGACAAATAATTAATTTCATCCTTCCAGTCCCATATCAGCATTACATCTAATTATTTAAAAAGCACGAACATGTCAACAATGGCTCCCAGGAGTAAAACCATACAAACTATTTCTGGCCAGCACGGTAATAATTAATACCCCATTGTGAACCACACAGGCACTCTTCATCAGCACTCGGGGTTTCGATTATTGAAAATCCACAGATGGGTTTATCTCAGAGACAGACATTTCTCAGGAAACCTCCGTGTACTATCATACGTGACTCTTGATCAGTTAATAACTATATACTGGACACATTGATCGTCATCTTAGGCATTGGTGAGTTGTTTGTTTGATGAACCAAATTTGACTTCATATTGATCCTATCATTCTTGGACATACGCTTCGGATAATGTGCACCAATATTCAGTGTTTTAAATTTCGTTAGACGCTGTCTAACATTGATGCTTCAAAGGTAAGAAATACGTGTTAAAGGCAGCTATCTCTTTGATACATGAAGCATACTGTGTTGGATAGTAAAGGCGATACTATTATGTATATTAATATGCGTGTGATATGTTTCGAATCGTACCATGGACTGTGCTCTTTATATAGATTTGTTAGCATTATGGAGACGGTTTGTAGCTCATGTTTACGAGTACGAGTACAACTATTTCTAAAGAAATCGTTTTGATATTTCATGTTTTACTTAACTTTGAGTTAGATATATAGCTAGGGCTATACTAACACATGAAGGAATAGTGGCAGCTATATAACACATGCTCTCTGACTGTTTCAAAGAGTTTCATCGTGATACTATATACAAGGTCGATAGATGGTTGCCATGACATCATCAGATTTACTGTTATTAAATGCCACACATATTCTAATCAGATGGGATAAACACCCAGTGTGGATGTGTACACATGGTACAAAATCGATAGATGGTTTGTTATGACTGTGCACACACGTGATGTCCGAGCCATTTTGTGAATGTGTTCTGATTGACGTAAGGATAAGATATACAGATGAACAGTGTTCGCATTACAATTAACTGAAATCACGTTTCGGTGTAGGTTCAAACACCTGCTCCAAACTGTATTAAAGACGTGTTCATGTGTGTTTGTTCTATACTCAAAAGCAAAAGTTATTGTGACTCACAACAACAATCAGAATAAGTGTTAAAGTTTTATTGATGCGAATGAAATGTAATTACATGTACATGGAAAAACCGAATGTTTCCAAGTTACGTAAAGGTCAACGGTCAATAAGAAGAGCACACCTGGCATGAACCACAACATAGAGGTTTCACAAGCTAGTTCACGTGGTCAGAAGCGAGTGTGTTACTTGTGCATTGATGCAGGCCTGGCAACTTCACCTCATTGAGGCCATTAAACGTAGATAAAAGTCCAGGGACAGACCATTCCCGAGGAAGGATTTAGCAGAGTTCCTAAAGCGCTGTTTGAGAATTCGTATGACGTCCTAAACCACGCCATTTCATCCCGTTGTTCAATGGTAGTTAAATCAGGGGTTCTTGCGGACAAGGGCCACACATTAAAACTGTTCTGAATAAGATACTGCTGTACAACTCGAGTGTGCTGGCGATGCATTGAAACGTCTTTCTGGTGCTGTTATGATGGAAAAACGTAAAGAAGCCATGTGCAACATCTCGTCTCAGTATTTCACAACATTCAATATTTAATTCAATCACAGTCACTGGCGTCCTGACGCCAGCAGTTTGCCCTCAATTCTAAAACGATCCCCTTCAAGAAAACATGGTCTGACGTTCACCTGTGCGCATGTAGACAAGCGTCCTGCCGCCATCTCGCTAAAGAAGGAAACGTCTCATCGTCTCATTGGTGAAGATATCTTTCTCCTATCACGTGCTCCCCATCGTAAAAGTTCTGGTGTCAGAACTGTCCCTGCAGTAGTCCCGTAGACCTCGTCGAACTGTTCTTGCAGATATGGTTTATAACTTTGTTTTGCTGTAAACGTTTCCAAAAGTGCAAATGGTGTTCCTATGGGCGTTGCTTCGGCGAGCAACGTCACTCTGCGGGGGCACCAGACTGAAACAAACCTGTAGTTCTCATCTGTCCCGGAGCGTGGCATGTTCAAAATTTCCTGAAAGACTGATAGAGATGTTTTTTTCTGATTTCTTCACTTCTTAAGACTGCATTGAGTGCATATGATAAGCGTCTTGTTGTCTGGCAATTAAAGGTGAACATTGTGGACCATATGTCTCAACTATGTCATGCTTCTTACAAATTTCGTGCAATTCAAAGAACAGCTGCTTTTCACAGTAACTTTTGCCTCTGAGTATACATACTTCTGTCCAACTTCTGAATGATGCTTGATACACTGTATACATGTGGAGCCTCATTTAAACATACAATTTTCTACTTTAATCTTTGTGATTAAATACATTCAAAAAAGTGAAATTGAATACGTTTAAAAAGTTATTTGACAAACTGGCTCAATCCCTGACAATGAAGGTACCTTCTCCTGTCAGGGATTGATGAAATTAGAGATAGGAATATGAACGGAGATAAATAGATAAGGAACAGCTTTTTCAGTGTTGAAATTCAGATAAGGACATTTGACAGTTGCTAAATGGACCGCAAATGCACCGCATTCATGATTTGGTAAAACATATTTGGCAGCTCACAAACTTGATTAGATGAGTCAGCACTGCCTCATGGTCACACAATTTGCAAATAGTCTAAACAGGTAATATAAGGCAGTGTTACTTATTTGCTGCGGACGTAGCAAAGCTGTAATATAATTATATGGCCTCAATGCTCATGATATAACACTCATATAACTCACAGACGTAAGGAATAATTCATTACATAAGTAAGCATAAGTCTGTAAGTGGAATCAACATATAAGAATGGCGTAAGCACTACATTATGAACTAGCGTCCAAAAGAAACGCCACCAAAATAAAAATTATCACAAATTGTCAAAATAATTGCCAATCTGCTGAAATACGGCTGAAAACACATCCCTCGAACAGAACCTGTCTATTCCCAGTGAACAAGCGCACGA